GAAACCACCTTCCTTCTCAAACACATGCTGCTGAATTCAATTATAATAGAGGCCACACAGACTGGGTCAAGGGAACCTACTAACTATGAATCTGCTCCAGGACCCTGTGCTGATCAGCCCTATTACACTTAAAAATAGGGAAGGCCATAAACTTGGCGCCTTGGGCATAAGGATTTGTTCTACTGCGTAAGAATTGGAAACTATTAGGATGCCATGGGAGTGAATCAGCATTTCCTATGGGAGATTTAGCCACCAATAGATAACTTTCCTGAGGACAAAAAAAATTAGCCTCCAAATTCCAGCAGGAATTCTTGCAGCTGCACGTATGCATGCCACCAACTGTGCTGTAAAAAAACCTCCCTGCAGTAGTCTTCCTAAGAAGATATGCATGGCTCTGAATGGCTGGCCTCTCTGAGGACACCAGTGCTAGAACTGAATACCCCTTTGATGGGGAAGGTCTTGTCAGTCATAAAACAGATGATATTATGGATAACCTTGATAAAAAGAGAACTAATGCTGAGAAGATGTGATTCCTCCCTCAATATCATTAGTAGCAGTCTAGGGCCACTTTTAGAAGACCACATTCCTATTCATCATTTAGAACACAACCAGACCAAAAGAGACTCTTTCCTTCCTCCTTGTCAACATACAATTATTCCCAGAAACCACAACAGCAGAAATACAACCAACCAGCCACCATTAAAAAGCACAAGAAATTCGAGCACAATCTTTGGCTTTCCTGTGACCTAGATGCTCCTTCTGCAGACTTCACCTACAAATATAAGCACATGCCAAACAAGTGGCTGTAGCTCTTAATGAATAATGCAGGATTACTAATGGCTGCCTGAAACCTGGCCCCATTGAAAAGGTCTATTTATTTGGTTGACTTTGCACCTCCAGAGATGTTAACAAATTATGAAATAAGGTAATACAGAATCAAGCCCATCTACTTCATGGACACCAGCCTGCAAGATCAGTGGTTCCCAACCTTGGACAACCCAGGTATTCTTGGACTTCAATTCCTAGAGGCCTTCACCATTAGCTCTGCTGGTTGGGGTTTCTGGGATTTGCAGTCCAAGAACACCTGGGTTACCCAATTGAATTGAATTTACTTTGTTGTCATTGTACTTTCGTACAACAAAATTAAATCCCATCTCCAGTACACATAATAATAAAATACACAAGAACATAGCATTCATAACATGAAAACATAGCACATTACACATAAAACACATCCCTCTCATTCACATCCATATAATTCACATTAAATTTCCCATTGCACAACACATTAATATTGCACTATACAGTGGCATTCAATATAGCTGCAGCTCTGGGATAGAAACTCTTTTTCAACCTGGTTGTTGTGGGTTTTTCGGGCTCTTTGGCCGTGTTCTGAATGTTGTTTTTCCTAACGTTTTGCCAGTCTCTGTAGCCGGCATCTTCAGAGGACAGGACTCTGTCCAGAGTACAGAGCACAGAGTGCTGTCCTCTGAAGATGCCGGCCACAGAGACTGGTGAAACGTTAGGAAGAACAACCTTCAGAACATGGCCAAAGAGCCCGAAAAACCCACAACAACCATTAGATCCTGGCCATGAAAGCCTTCGCGAATACATTGTTTTCAACCTATTTGTCTTTGTTTTAATTATCCTGTACCTCCTACCAAATGGCAACAACTGAAAGAGGGAATGGCCTGGGTGTGATGGATCTTTGAGAATATTTTGAGCTTTCTTAAGACATCAGGAATTATAGAGATCTTCCAAAGAGGTAAGAGGGTAGCCAGTGATCCTCTGGGCCATTGTAATAATTCGTAGTCCTCTTTGCCACAAAGATCAACAAAAATTGCCACAGATACTGCTCTTGAGCAGGATGAGGCCCCAACTCCTTAGGGATGCATTCATGAACAGGTGGATGAAATATCTTTTCTATGCCTTCCCACCAAACTCTCTAGTGAACAGTCAACTACAGTCCTCATAGCCCTGTGGTGGCCCTGTCAAGCCTGGTTTATGACTTTGAAGCTAATGGCTTGCAATTTTCTCCATCTACCTTTAATTCCACACTTATTCTTTCAGAACAGTGGTTCAATTCATCATCCAAACCTACCCACACTGAGCCTGACAGCATGGAGAATTCTCCAGTGTTAGAGAATAACAAGTCTCAAAAATTGCCCACTAGACAGACCTATGAATACATTTGGAGAAGGTTTACAAAAGAAGAAGCCTCAATAGGCAAGTCAGATTTCTAGTCCTTGCTACTTACAGTGCTCCTTTTTCTCTTCCGCTTAAAGGAGAATGGGTTATAATATACTTTGGTAATAAGCTGTCTGTTGGCTATAGTAGCAAACTAACCTGCTGTCTCCTGGGCATCCAAATTCTTTAGAAATCCAGTTCTCAGAAAATCCCCTTGTGGTCTACAGATACCATTCCTGACATTAGAATACCTCCTCTTCAATGGTCTCTTTCCTTGGTTCTCAATCAACTCATGAGACCTCCCTTTGAACCACTAATTACAATGGACCAGAGACCATTTACTTATAAAACTGCATTTCTTTTGGCTGCTATATGAGCTTGCTGGGCAAATGAACTATGCACCCTCAGACATAACACACCTTTCTTCCAATTTTACATGATAAAAATAATCATTTCCCCTGACATCTCCTTTCTACCCTAAATAGTTTCTTACTTCCACCTCAATCATTCCATTGTCCTGCCAACCTTTCTTCCATCACTTTTGTCAGACATAGAGAAAACTCTACATACTTTGGATGTTCGTCGGTCCTTAGCTTTCTATAGTTTAAAAACTAAGCATATACTGTATGAAAAACTAACCGTTACCAATAATCAAGAGTAGGCACTTAGATAACCCTCCATCAAAATGGCTCATCAAGTTCTGCTGTCAACTGGCAAAAAGACCACATCCTTATTCTCTAAAACAGTGTTTCCCAACCTGGGGTTCAAGACGCCAAGGGAATCACAAAGTATTTTCTGGGGAGTTACGGACAACCTTATAATGTTTGTTAAATCATTTCTTCCTTGACTTTTTGGAATAGGATATTAAAGATAGTGATTATGTATAAGAAACAGGCCCTTCAAGGGAGAAAGAAGCTTCTACTTTTTGAGAGGGTATGACTTGGACTATTTTTTTTTTTTACAAAAGAAGAAATACCAACAGAAAGATATAACTGCGACTCCTTCAGCAAAAAAGGAATTTTTTGAGGCATTACTTTGGGAGAGCCTAAAGAATGGGAGGAAATGGAAAAATAACAACCACTTCCCACAACATACCAGGAGGGGACACAAAAACAACTGGCCTACCTCTTCTGCAGTGGATGCAAGGAAAGCTCTGTGCCACATTCTGAGAAGGATCCTCTCTGCGCAAAGGTTTTGCCCCCTCTGTGGGTACCACAATGTTCTTCTGCTCCATGGCCCATCTTGCCTTCTCTTCTCCCTACCTTCTCTCTTCTCCCCCAGCCTGCTTTGAAGTGGTGGTTGCAGAGTTGGCAGCAGCAGCAATAGGAGCACAACCAGCAGCAGCATTGACGGTGCTGCAATGTCAAGCAACAACAACAATGACCTTTTTATGTAAATGTGGCAGGAGGGGGTCACAGATTACTTGACTATTATAAAAGGGAGTTGTGACTTGGAAAAGATTGGAAACCACTGCTTTCAAAGGTCATTCAACCAGAACCGTAACCTCCCCAACTGTATTCCTTAAAGGATCCAGTTAAGTGACATTTGTGGAGCAGCAATGTGGTCTCAACCCTCGAAATTCATCAAATATCACAGGCCGGATGTCAGCGCTAATGAGGATGAGGCATCTTTTGGCAGAGCAGTGGTTTCTTCTGTGTTGGCATGACATCCCACTGACAAGTAACCGAACTTGCTACTCACCCATATGAGTGATTCATGGAGACCACAAAGGAGAACAGGTCATTTACTTGTAACTGTACTTGTTTAAGTGGTCATCTCTGAATTCACACAACTCAGCCCTCCTCCCCACAGTTTGCCATGTACCATAATGTTTGGTATACAGCAGTGGACTGAGGGAACTGAGGAATGGCTCTGGAATGAGCGAGCATGTGCAATGTTTGTGCAGGGGGGTATTCTAATGGAATTTTTTTTCAGCTCTAAAATGTTCTGAGGAGTTTTGTGTAGGTGCAGAAACAGTCCATCTGTGTGAATTCATGGATGGCCACTCAAAGAACTACAGTTACAGGTTAGTAACCTGTCCTTTCCATTGTTTTATTGCCCTGTTGTATCCTGCAGCTCTAGTCATACTTTTTTTGAATATTGTTAGACATTTTGTGGGCTTTTGCTTTTTATTGTTTTTATTACTAGCCATCTTGAAAATTTTAACTAGAAGATAGAATAAATATATAACAGGCCTTAATGTTTTACCATGTAAATATTATTAAGGTATATCTGAATTACATTTTGTAATTAACACAAGATTATCCCTGTGTGAACACTGAGATGGTTCCTTGCCAATTTCCCAGAAAATGAAAAGCCAGTCCCCTTCAATGAAAGACTGGACATACTTGGACCAGATTTTAAACCAATCTGCCTTTGAGTCCAGACTGTTCTTCCATCTGTTCTTGTCAGTTCTCACAGAGCTATTCTCTAGAGTGAGGTATTCTTGTTGCGAACAGCTGTGAGTGTTGTAATGAAGGTAATTCATTGAAGCGGTGTCTACTGATCACTGTATAGGTAAGATTTTCCTCTAAGTATTCTTCCAGGTGTGCAAGGTACAAGCCTTATAAGTGGAGAAGGACTTCTGCATTTCACACTGTATAACCATGAAAATATTCATTAAGTGTCACAGGTCCTGTTTTATGAAATAATAACAAATGTTGTATCATTACATTATATTACTTCTTGACAGGCTGTTTGTAAAAGACATATTTGTAGACATCAGGCAGCTGCCTGAAGGTGACACCTCATGCAGGCCAGAAGCATTTGCCTTGAACAGAGGAAATGTAATCATCTTTCTTTTGGCTTCTCAGGTACTGGAACTCTCTGAGTAATTTGGTGGCTTCCCTGCTCAACTCGGTGCGCTCCATTGCTTCCCTGCTGCTGCTACTCTTCCTCTTCATCATCATCTTCTCCCTCCTAGGGATGCAGCTCTTTGGGGGAAAGTTTAACTTTGATGAAATGCAAACCAGGAGAAGCACGTTTGACAACTTCCCCCAGTCTCTGCTCACTGTGTTTCAGGTATGCTTTTGTAATATTTTCTTTTATTTGTAAAACTCTTACATCAGCTGCATGCAGCACTAGGTTTAATCACAAATTGCATTTAGAATTTCTTGAAAGGCATTTGAAATTAACAAAACGCCCTTGTAATATTTTTAAATGCCAAGGTAGGACTTTTTGCAGAGAGAAGTACAGTGAGGTGTCCTCAGTCTTGAGAAGTCCCTTCTCTGTATTCTCACTGGCCTTGAAGTAATATTGTTTCAGCAGGGCCTACCTGGAAGAAGGAGTTGATATATAAAGAAGCACTTTTAAGAAATGTTCAGCTGAGACACCAGAATATGGCTTACAAATGTGAGATCTCTGCCTTTGTGGAAACACAGATCTAGTCTAGGGTCATTCACAGATGACTGAAGGAACATATCAAATGAAAACTACCATTCAGCTGTGTCCCAAGACAAATTTAAAATAAGCACATAGTGTCTAATTTCTAACTGCCTGAAGAGGTGAAATGCCAGTTCTTCATCCAGAGGCAATGCATGCTTAAGAAGAAAAGATTTTGTTAATTTTAATATGAGCTTTCCTCAACCCGCATTTTGCAAATCAGCTTGCTTTTGTTTTCTGATTGGTAAACTGGGAGATTGTATGGCTTTGTCTGGATATCTGATGTCAGAGGCAGGGACTTGTGAACATTTTGGGAGTCTGGAAATGTAGGAGAAAGAAATATACATTTGCCTTATGGTGTAATCTGACCCTGGGTCATAGAATGTCAACAGAAAGACTACAAGATGTTCTTAATGTCAGTCAGTGTGTAAAACAAGCTGTTGTACAGAACAAATGGCCTTAGATGGTGGATAGCAATGTATATTTCTATCTTGTAGTCCATAGTGGATGCCAAGCGTTTTCCCATCGATACCTTGCAGTAAGAATAAAGATTTCAACAAGTGTCTTCTATTCTTAGCAGGCAGAAGATTTTCTTCAAAGCAAACCAAGATTGTGTTCTTTCTTATAACAAGCTTTTGCAGATGTTCTGCATGTTGTCTAATACTGTGTCCTCCCATTGGTGGAAATGTGTCATTTAGATCCTGACTGGGGAGGACTGGAATTCGGTGATGTATGATGGGATCATGGCTTATGGCGGCCCCTCTTTTCCAGGAATGTTGGTCTGTATTTACTTCATCATCCTCTTCATCTGTGGAAACTGTATCCTTTGCTGCTACATTTCTTTTCTTTGGTATTTTGGATGGACTTTGAAGATCCTCCAATATATTAGAATTGTGCTGCGTCAGTTAGGAAAGTAGTATTTTAGAAAAGAAAAAATCGAGGGGGAAACATTTCTACCCTCCCTTTTAATGTCACAATCCACGTAATATGTCACAGGATTGTCACCTCAGATAATACATTCCAAAGCTCCACTTGGGTGTGAACTAACTATCTGCATGGTCTACACAATGGGATAATTAGGAAAGCACTAAAGAGTGCCAAAAAACTCAGAAGCCTTAGACTGTGCCAGAAAAGAAAAATATGGCTCTAGAAATGAACAGGATGAAGCACTGTAAGTCAAAACTGGACACTGTAATTTTGTTCTAACCAAACTACACCAAATGGGATCCAAACATCTGTCTGGACAGGCCCTAAGAAGAAGAAATCATTTTCATAATGAAATTAAATACAACTATGGTCCCCCAAAAAGCAGGGCTTTGCTCACTCTTTTTGATAAGGACTGCTTGCTTATGTGAGAACCCTGCTTGAATGTTTATTGTGCAGATATACAGGATGCAATGAAAATATAGGAGAGAGGGATAGGTTTAGAGATATTCCAGTAATTAACCATTAAAAATTAGCTAGAAATAGCTTTTGTTTCTCATTCTTGTCAGAATTGAGAGTACTGACTGTCACTTAAACACTGGAAGTGAAAATTATTGATACATGTCTGTCTAATTAATCATCAGTTTGAATATTATATCTTATTTTCTTTATCATTTATAATGGCAAACCATGCTATATTAATACAGAATTGATCAAAATAATCATACTGAACAGTATAATGAAATGTAATGTAATATTCAGAATTCAATATGCTTGGAGAAACTAAGTATCCACCAAGACTAATTAACTTTAGATCCTAGGAGGCTTGTAAAAAAAGTCTGTAGGGATGGGCTCAGGTAGTGTCACTTAAGTATTCTATAATTCTAGAACCACAACTGAGTAGACTCTGAACCATCATTTTAGCAGATTGTACATTTGGAAATGGAAGGTCTCTAAGCAAAACTTGCCTAGAATATCTCAGTAGGTTGAGAGGCTCATATGGAGAAAGGCTGTTTCTGAGATATGCTTGATGCCAACTACTTAATAGTAATTAAGCCCAATACCATAGGACATTGTTCCATGCCATTAAATTTAACTTTTCTTTAAAGAAGTATGTCAACAGATATCTTGTTGAATGTCTTTTTGGCCATTGCTGTGGACAACCTTGCTGATGCTGAGAGCTTAACATCTGCTCAAAAAGAGGAGGAAGAGGAAAAAGAAAGAAAAAAATTAGCTAGGTAAATCCTTTTGCCCCATAATGTGGCAGAAAACCGTGTTCCTATTTGGATTCTACAATATAAAGGCATGCCCAACCAGTAGGTTCCGTTATTGTAACCTGAACAACTCCTAGTTGTAACTCACAGTCCTCTTTGTAACCCACAGTCAATACCATAGGAAGTGTCCCAACAAAAAGGAGAGGTATTCTGTTTATTCCAGGATCCCAGCAGTTCAAATAGAGAGTCTACATAATCAACCATGTGTGTACATGAAGGATGTGTGTGGGTTGTAGTTAGTCATGTGGTCGCATGAGAAATTCGTATTCCCTGTGGCTGAGCAGTAAAGATGAGCATGTGTGTTTTAATGTCATCAGTGCATGTGTGTTTTTAAAAATGGAACTATTGATTTTTGTTTATCTTTTACCAACAGACTAGCCTCTGTTGGTCTAACAGGTGCCAATTCTCAAATACAAGTGAGCTTTACATGAGATGGAAAACCATCTGTACAGTGTGCGTATGAAAGATGGCAGAATAAGAAACTGAGTTAACAGCTTTAGCTGCAATTCCATTGTCATGTTGATTTTGAGCAGCCTGTGGTAGGGTTAGGAATATTTGGTCTAGATCCTAAGAGAAGCTAATTTCAGGAATTTATTGAAAGCAATGTTTTCCCTATTGTCCTTGCAACCACTTTACAAACCACTGGAAAAAAATCTCTCTGGAACACTAAACAATGTGAGATGAGATGCAGGAGGGCTGCAAGGAGAAAGTGAGGTCTAGAAATTTTCCTTCCAGTAACTTTCTTCCATTATCGTATGATAAACTGTTGTGGTTTTTTAAAAATTCTCCATCATATAATCATGCCACTGTAAAGCTGTTTGTGCTGATGCTGCCATAGAGTAACTACAAAAGACTAAACAGTGATGGAAATGAAATGGTTTCCATCATATTTTAAGAAGTGTCTTAAAATAATATTTTTTCAATACATTAATACATGAATCACTGCCTTTGGAGGAGGGATTATTTTCTTCTCATGAGATCAAATGCACCTTGGTGAAATTGAAGTAGATACTATTGCACTTGAATTACTTGTTTTCATATAGTAGACGACATCCTGATGAAACCATTGTGCCTTCTACTCACTTTGGCAGGCAAGACTGTAGACCGATCAGATTATAGGGCTCTAGTGTGGGAGACAGCCCTGGTTTTCCAGTCTTGCTCCTGCTTGTCCTTCACACAGGTTGTTTTGGCTCAATTCTGCCTTGCTGCATTTTCTTTTACTTTCTCTCTTTTCTCTTTCCTTTCTCCTAACTTCTCTACCACTAAAACTTTTGTGCCTTACTCTTTTCCCCCACAAACAACCCCTAAGTCCCAACTTTGGATCCAGACCACATCTGAGGCCAGGGAGGAGGAAGACAGCTCAGGCTTTTCCAGATTTTCAGTCCTTGCTGGATCAAATTGGGTAACAAGTATGGATTGCCAAGAACTGGATCTCCTTAGCTACTTAAGACACACCCACTATGTCAGTGCAGCTTCTTCATTAAATGCTATGCACTCTCAAATGAATGACATTGGGGCTGCAAAATTCTTGCAACTCTAGCTTCTTAAGCTGAAATTAGTACATAGGATTATAACCCACCCACCCCCATGCCTAATTGCTTCACCTTCTGGATTACCCTCTTGATTGTTAAGGAGACTATGCCACTCACTCCTTCCACGGCAGTAAAGATAGAACACCAAATGGTGTGTAGCTTCTGTCAACATAGCTGCTGGTCAGATCTTCTAACATTAGTTCTAACAGAACACATTGCACTTGATAGAAAAACAAAACTAAAAGGCATGGCTTCCTTTTGTTTCCCAAGGAAAATACTTGACAGAGTTCAAACACCATCTTGAGGAGGCGGGTGGAGGAGTGTTCTTCTTAGACAAGGAGGAACTGAGATAGGAACAAGGAGAAACTGTTTGAGGAAGAAGGGAATGGGTAGGGAGGAATGCCTCCACTCTCTGTACAAAGGTATGTGGTACACAAACTCAATATGCTTTACTGTGCCCACTATTCTTTACTGTGCCCTATCAGTCATGAAGGGCAATTCTGAATATGAAAGGGGTGAATGGTTATGTTAGAAAATGAAGATTTTTCATGAAAACTCTTAGATTCATCTTGGATGTTTGGCAGCCAGAGGACTTATGGCTGTTCTGGAATGATGCTGTAGCTGTATATACCTAAATCAAAGACAATTTCTCAGACTTGCCTTTCAGGGCAGGCAATTCTCATATTCAGATTGTCTTTTGCTCCAGATAATTCCTGACTCTGGAGCAAGAGGTTGAGAGTTTGATTCACCATTGTGCCTCCTGTGAGTGAAAGCCAGCTTGTGTGATCTTGGGCAAGCTCGTCTTTTGCTCCAGATAATTCCTGACTGTGGAGCAAGAGGATGAGAGTTTGATTCTCCATTGTCCCTCCTGTGAGTAAAAGCCAGCTTGTGTGATCTTGGGCAAGCTGCATAGTCCCAAAGTGCCCCCAGAGGAAGGGAATGGTAAACCACTTCTGAGTATTCTCTACCTAGAAAACCCTAGAAAGGGTCATTATTAGTCAGAATTGACTTGATGGCACACATTTATTATTATTATTATTCACAAAGGTTCTCATGACTGTGGTGGCATATCTCAAGTCTCAAGGAATCTGTAGTCTATACTGGATGGCCTTCTGGTTTCTCCAGAGGGGAAGAACAAGGATTTAGAGATGTCCACCTCACCATGGACACCTTTCATGTCCATGCTTCTCTGGTTTATCTTGGGAAGAGTCACATCTCCATCTGAATGTATCAGGCATCTAATTATTATTATAGATACTGCCAATGGAAAGGTCTCACTTCGATCAGATAAGCTGGAAAAGTTGCAGGAGATGGCTTCCAAAGCTCTTGTGCATCTTAGTCCACCTTGAGAACATAATGATCACCATCATATGACTGCATTATGTAGGCAAGGTTCTTACATTATCTGGAGTGGTTTCTGCTTTCCCTTCAGAAGGCCATAACAGAAAAGGAACATCAGTTTCTCAGGTCAGCAGCCAGATCAGAACAACCTCACTTGGTGGCTCAGAAGATGGGAGGGGTTTCTCAGGGATATACGTTTTTCCTCAGTTGACAACCGCTGCCAATTTCAAAGTTGGGGGCTCAGCTGCAGAAACACATAGAACAGGGCAAGTAGTCTAAGAGAAGTCACCCCATATCATAAACTTCCTGGAATTATGAGCAATCCGACTAGCCTTTCTAATATTCCAGGTCATGGCAAGAAACAGGTCAGTATTATTGAAGATAGACAACATAACAGCGAAAGTTAATGTGAACAGGTATGGTAGAGCCTCAAATGCAATCTCGTGTAAGAGAGAAATCTGCTAATAGTTTGGGCAGAGTTTCATTTTCTCTTGACAGATATGGAGCATGGTCAGAGTACTCTTAACTCACAAGCAGACTGGCTATGTTGCCCCAGCCAAGATGACCAGAATGTAGGCTTTCCCAGAGAGTCTTCTGCAGTGCCACCAAGAGGATTAAAATTCTGTAGGTCAGCTCGTTCACATCCCACTAACAAGGTTCCTCAGTTCTTGTCCAGATTGTTTTGGCACTCTGACAACTCCATGGCCAAGGACTTTTCTGAAATGGGTGATCTGGAAGGTTTGATAAATGCAGGATAATTCTTACTGCACTTTTTTAAGCAAAGGAAGACATGGTTTTTAGACCTGCTCCACTTATAAATGAACTACATGGCCAGTCCTACTCTTCTGAACTTACTCAGTCAGAGAATTGACCTGCACTTGTAACTGGAGTGGCTACAGCACCATGCTTGGTTGTGGAGTAACTAAAATTATTAAAGAAGAGTTATACACATAAGGTGGTTGATATGATTGGTGCATTCTGTTGGCCTTCTGTGAATCAGATTTATGAAACTTTGTGGCCATGTAAAGGTGGTATAGGAGGAAGAATTGCTCTGTGATAGGGCACCCATCACTTCCGTTCTGGCCTCTTTTTAGGAAGCAGCTGGTAAGATCTGCAACCCTGTTCTCTTAAAAGACACGTGGCAACCTTTTTCTCAATGATTTGTTCAAAATGTGGAAAGTCTTTGAGCAATCACCCATGTACCAAATGTTTTTTCAGAAGTCTGAACTTCACCAATCTGTCCATAGTGCATAAGTATCTGTTTTGGGTCTTCCATGTAGCCCTGAACTCCCTGATCAAGCTTCCTTTTTCTCTTGAACCAGACCTGTCCTTTATTCCAAAGATGAAATGGATTTTACACAAGGCTCAAGAAGGTGACATGCTTTCTTCCCAAATCCATCTTGACCTTTAGAGAAAGAACTACCCAAATTGGATGTTAAAAGAGCTGCTGGAAAATATATTGAGAGAGTGAAACACTAGAGTGTTACGCCATTTTACTCTATGGTTGTCTCATTCCAGCCTGCTACAATGGAAAGAGAGGTCCTTGTCCACCTTAGCTAAATCACTTAAAACTTGTATCATGACCTGGTATGAGTCTTTGGGGATGTGTTTGCCTGGTGGCTCACTCCACTAGAAGTGCTGTAATTTCAGCTACTGCTAATATTAGGGCAAATTTAGAAGGTATCTGTAGAGCAGCCACATGATAGGTTCAGTCCTCTTTTGTTAGGCATTGCTGCATGGACTGAGGCCTCACTTTGGAGAAGGGTGCTTCAGCAAGTGCTCCTGCCAGGTCCTCAAAATAGTTGCCTTGAAGCGCGAATGTCTCTGCCATTCTCCCCTACGTTCTGAAGACTTTAATAGATCTCTTTTGTCAGGATGTTCTCCACTACAGGGGAAAAGGAAGTTGGTACTTACAGTGAGATGTCCATTTTATGTAGCAGAAGGAAGACACACTCCCCATTCCATGGAGATGTTAACTGACAAAGAGTTTCCAATGACATCTTGGGTTTTTCCTGAAATACCTACCTTGTGTGCAGAGCTGTTTCTACCCACAACTTCTTTCTTGTTTTTTTCTTTCTTCTGTTTTTCTTTTTGCTTGTCTAGGGGCTGAAGATGAGACTGGAAAGCCAAGGTTCTCCTGTCCCACTATTATTAATCTACTTATTTTGTCTAATTTGTAGGCTGCCTTCCTCCCAATTAGAGGACTGAAGGAAGCTCACAATGTTAAAACAAGTAAAATAAAAAGTAAAACAAATAACACATTAAAACAATTGAATTATAATAATAATCAAAATATATCAAATGACTAAAAACATTTAAAACTTTAAATGCAAACAAAACAAGCTAAATACCAGCATCAAGGGACTAAGTTATGTTATTAAGAAGTTATTACAGAGATCCCTGGACCACTCTGATTGGTCTACATTTCTGCCTGTCATAGCGAGTAGATGGGACAACCCTTTCACCAGGATGTCCTTCTTACATTTAACAAAATTGAAGTCTCATGGTAAGTACCAATGTTTTCTTCCAAGTCTGAGGGAGACTACAGTTTCTAAAAGATAGATAAGTCCTGGATTGTTGGAATGATTACTGTGCACTGCCTAAAGAAGTCTATAGTGGAAACATCATTCTCTGTTTCATGAACATCTGCCTTTTTCATCTTTGCTGAATTATTAGAACTGCTAGTCCTGAAAAGAAACAGGAGCCTGAGAAGCCAGCTGTGGAAGAGGAGATGAAGGAGGAGAAAATTGAGCTAAAATCCATCACTGCTGATGGAGAGTCTCCGCCTTCTAACAAGGTTTGCTGCTTACTACTACTAAGCTTGCTGTGAGCTGATCATCTTTATGAATTAATGAAGGAATAAAAGACTAAAACGTGCTCTGTTACATTCCCCCTTTTCTTTTTGGCAGGGCAATACAGATGAATATCAGCCAAATGAAAATGAAGAAAAGAATGCCTATCCTACTACTGAGACACCAGGTAATTAATTAGCCATGTGACTGCACATTTTTTTCTAACTAGTATAAGCTGATACTCAGAAGCCTGAGGCACTTCAAACTGCATCATAAAGAGATACGTATCACCTAATAAAAGGTCATCAGCTGGTATTAATCTTGACAAGGTAGAATCATTTCTTTAGCTCAACTTGAAATATTTCTTAGCAGAACACTCGGTAAATGCCATGATGTTATAAGAGAACAGTTATTGTATTATGCTGCCCTGTGTTCTATATATATCCATAGCTATGTGAAGTCTGTGCTACAGCTCTGCATAAACACAGTCATGTCTCAGTTTCTTGTGCCTGAATGAACTAAACATTTAGCAGATCAGCATAAACTTGCTTATTCTGCATAACTTTTCATGTGCTGCTAAGCAGAGCTGAAGAGACAAAGAGCTTTTCGGAGCTTTGGAAGTTTATTACTTACCTAGTGGAAGAAGCCATCAGCTGCTTATGACTTTAGAGATGTTAGCAGCCATTTCCCATATTTTCAGCCTTGAAATATAATAACGTATCCTATGTAGCTTGAAATAAATGCATATATATTACAATATCTGGTATCCTATACATGCCTGTGTATGGTTTGCATAATTTGTTGTGGCTATGCTACAGTACAGCTTCACTGTATGTGACCAGATGTGTGCCGGGGGGGTGGCCCTCCTATGGCATCAGCAGGAGCAGGGAACCCCATTAATAACTCCCAGTAATTACCCCAGTAATAACTCCATGGACTCCTTTTCAGCTTCTTGACTTAGAACAGCTTTTATTAATGATACAGCATCATTCTCCCCCCTCCCCAGTCTCATGGGACTGAGTTATAGTCATTATAGTGTTATAGTATGTCCCTCCCATCCTTTAAGAGGATATTAAAGACAGCCTTGTTTCAAGAGGCATTCAAGGACATCCCCACATAAGTTAATCTTTCTATGTGATCCTTGTTTCACCATCATTTGGACTTTTTATTTATTTTCTTATTTACTTAGAGATGTTTAATGTTGGTGTATTGGGTGGAGGGGTTTGTTGTACTGGCTTGCTGTAAACCATTTAAAGTAGTGCTTTGTACTAAGTCAGCAGTATATAAATGCATCAAATAAAATAAAATAGTCTCTAGTCCCTTGGATGCTGCTTGCCAGCTTGGGCCCCCAGTTAACTTCACTGGACCTCTAGTCTAGGTTTTGGAAAGTAGGAGGGAAAGAAAAGCTTCACTCCAGGTTGTGCCTCTTTTAGGGAGGGTTTTTGGAGATGGGTGAAAGAAGCCAGGCTCAGTGACCTCTCTTTTTGTCCTCTCCCCCTGGCGCGCCTGGTGTTACTTGCCCCTCCAGGGCCATGGCGGTGTCCAAGCAAGCCCTGCCATGTCCAGGCACATGGCTGGAGTTTCCAGTGTCTGACTCCTGTCATAAGGATGCAGCTTCACACATTCCCTTTCCTGGTCTCTGGTGTCTTTCCAGACATCCTGTTCTTCAGAAGTAAACAATGACCCCATGCTCTCTCACCCATGTCCTTTTTTTTTCTTGTTGACCTCACACCTCCTATAACTGGCAGGCAGCTGGCTCTCCTTCACCTGTGTGTACTCCCTCCCACCAGCTTGATACTGAGGAAAACCGCTTCATCCCATCTGCCTAATACTTGTGTTCTGGGGTGAGATCGCTTGCTAGAGGTGTGCACCTGTGTCCACTCACAACAGGCATGCAAACAAGACAATTTTCACCAGTTTGTCAACTAGCTGTGGCAGGTTACACAACCCTTACTTAAGTACCTATAGGATCCTGGCCAATATAAAACAGTAAAAGATAATTAAAAATAATTAATTTTAAAACATATGAACAACAATTTGTACATAAGGCAGGGGAAATAGTAGTTCTCAGCTGAGGAAGGTTGACATAAATTTTGATATGTATACATGTGGAATTTTAAATGCAGAAGCTTTTGTGGCAATCTGAAGAAGTATCATCTCTGTGTGTGGTGGCATGCAACCTGTACTACATCAGATTACCATAGTATCATCTATTGTTGGAATGCCATAGAAACAAATACTGAACATATTCGCTTTTATCTTTTAAAAAGGCATTTTTAAATTCTACAGAATTTCTGTCTCTTTAATTAGGGAAGACAGTGTGTAGCAATGTGGGTGCTACCACCGAAAAGATCTGCTTTAGCAATATCATACAGTATTCTGTTGATTGTGGGACAACCAGTAAAGCCTTCAATGTAGAAATCAGGGATTGGCTAGGAATGTATAGGCCGTCTGATAAGTTTCATGGCTATGAGGAGTTAGGGGTTTGAACCTCTGCTTGGTTACTAATAGGTAGCCGGTGCTTTCAATAACATATACAATATGTGCATTGCTTAGTGTTCAATTTGAACATCATATCTGCTACATTCTGCACTATCCTTTAAACCGAGTGAAAGACTAGCCCCATATAGAATGTATTCTAATACTCTAGACATAAGTTTATCTATGCATAACTAACAGCTGCAAGGATATACTTATCTAGGAAGAGATGAACAGCACATGAACAGTGAGTGCCCTGGACTATGGAGAGCATCTGGGCTCCCAGTGACAAAGATGGACAACTACAGTTTCTGTATACTACTCCTTATACCTACTCCTCTAGGAATTCAGCCCCTTTCAGATCAAGTAAACAAACCAGTCAATGACAAAATCTCTGTCCTGTCAGGATTCAGCTTCAGTCCTAGTTTCTTCTAAGCTGAGTGTGTTTGTGACTGTTGTTCATAGGGTTTGGCTGTTTTCATTCTTTTGGAAGTACCATTTAGTAGAATCCAGTATGTGCAAAAAGGCCATACCTAAGTATACTACAGGGTACATACAGCCACATTGTGCCATTGTGTGTACATCCTGAATCAGTATGGCAGAGAGTATGAAGTGGAGCAAATTCTAATGGGTGGTTTGTTTTTGTTTTTGTTGGTCTTGGATAAACCACTGATACATTTCTTCTTCTGTGACTGAGAATGGGAATATGATTGAATAGCCCTGTAGGATCGTTGTAAATATGAAGTATTTGAGAATTATAGCTATCCTTACATATTAAAAGCAATACAGAGAAGAAAAATAGTACATCAACTTCTACATGTAAATGCCTACTTAAAGGAAAACTAGATGTTACATGGAGTTTACTTCCATCTGCATGTTTGTTTTTGCCAGCTGGGATGCAGAAATTCCTTAATCATTTGTCTTCTGGTCATTTTCTAGCTGAAAATCATTCCTGGTTGCTTCACTCACAAGGAAAAAGACTGTGGGAGACTTTTTAATCTGAAAAGTGACTGGCAGGGGAAAGGGTTAAAAAACTAGTTATCTACTGCTTTTGGTTGAAAAGAGAGGGGGGATTAATACACAAATCCATATAATATTGTGAGTGGCCTAAGATATTTGCTTCAGAGGGGCAGCATCTGGGAGCTTGCCCTGTACATTTGCAAGTAATTTTCCCAGTCACTTCTATTTATTCTTTGTTTCTCAGCTGTTCAGAGATCACCAAACATGATGGGCTTCTTGTTCTTATTAGCAACCCAACCTTGTAATACTGCAAGTGTGCACAGTGTTTTCTCTTCCTGTCCATCTGGAACACCAGATGACTTTAGACCTGTTCTTGTACACTATCTGCAAGCAGGCAATTTCACGATGCCAGCCATTTGCAGTAAGTCTTGGGTATCATTATTTCTCATCTGGCATCAGCTGTTCCAAAACATTTGTTTGACACAAGACTTAATTTCTTATTGCTAATAATGTCAGCACATTTTCCAGAAGTCCCTCATAGTTGCTTAGTCCTGAAAATTACTGCTATCATACAAGACTGAGTTTTCTCTTTAGATACTGTATCTTTGTCATTGTGTACAATTGGATGGAAGAAGGATGAAAATTAATCATTCCTGTTGCAATCATGAGTGTGAGAAACTGGTGCTGAAATAGATGTGGATTCATGTGGTCAGCATGAATCCTTAAAAGTGGCTAAATAGATTATCTATGATCAAGACTTGTCTTCCCCTCTTCTGCAAAAGTCCCTGATAAATTTCTCCATGTAAATTAGTCTCAGAATGGTCTCAGACAACTCCAGATAGGAAGCTGATATTCTCAGTTCAGCTTTCTGGCAGAAAGTTGCGTCCTATGCTGCTCACCCCACGCTACTTTTGGAATAGGTGGGATACCAATAGGACTATCTCAAGTTGCAGAAATTGATTCTCTCAATGTACAGTACTATTAAGAATATGCCAACAAATATGGAAAGCAAAACAGTACCCCGTGAGCTGGAAACATTCAATATACATTTCAGTCCCTAAGAAAGGAGGTGCCAAGGAGTGCAATAACTATAGGACCATTGCATTGATCTCCCATGAAGCAAGGTTATGCTCAAGGTTTTGGGGAAAAGGGACTTTTATCATATATGGCATAAGAAATGCTTGATATTCAGGCTGAATTTTAAAAAAGGAAGAGACACTAGAGTTCATATCATAAATATATGGTGGCTACTAGAGTATTCCAAAGGCTACTGAGTGTACAGAAGATCAGTCTGCTTTATAGAATACAGCAAAACCTTTAACTGTGTGTATTATGAAAAGTTGCGGATTGTTCTAAAAGAACTGAGTATGCCTGAAGGCTTGATTGTCCAGATATATAAAAGATATTATGGGCAATATAGCTACTTTTGGATATGGAATATGGAAGAACAGAAAGCAAAACTGTCAGACAAGGGTGTATTTTATGCAGAGCATATACAGAAACTGGATTAAATTCAAATGAAGTAGAAGAGAAAATTGGTGGAGGAAACGCCAATAATTTAATATATGCATATAACACCATATTCCTGGCAAAAAGCAGCAGTGATTTGAAATGACTCCTAATGAAAGAGACAGAAGTGCAAAACCATGGCTACCCTTGAACATCAGAAGAACTACATAAGTTTAATGTTGACAGTAAAAGGTCTTGTGCAATTTGGTTCAATCAAGGGGAGACTCCTCAAAGAAATCA